ACTCCACAACTTCCAAAGCCGCTGCCTCCTCGCATGCACCGTCGCCACCTTTGAACACGTTTCAATTACCAGCGAATACGGACGACGGTTGCAACAATGCTAAGAGTTACTACGACAATCTGCTCAACACATATATTTCGCCTGGAGACAGGTTTTGGCATCTCGGACAATTGATCACGAAAGGTGATTCCGTTCTTGTAATAGATGCTTCTTCCGGGAGGTATGCGGCAAAATATATGACTGCCACGGAAACAGAGGTAAGAGATATAGTGTTGACTCAGGGATGAGAATTCAAATGAATCGGATGTTGAAGTGTTGAAAAAAGTAGAGAACGAGAGAAGTTGCATTAACGAGACCTCAATTTTTAATGGTCGTCACTCTCCGTTGGTTCATATGTGGTCTCATTGACAAGATTGTTCTGTTCATCTCACTTGTGCTAAATAGGTTGTCGTGCAGAAACCAGATGGTTCGAAGACACGTATAAATAAGAATCTTCTGGGAGAAGGGAAAATTCAAATACATCTTAAGGCATCATAAGTATTCAATATAGTAATAAGTGAATAATGTAAATTAATATAGGCCGGAGTGTACGAATTAGAGCATAATTAATCACAATATGTTTGCTCATCAGGGTTACCAACATAATCATTCTTGCATCTTCTTCCCTTTTTCACTCCCTTTTCTTACTTTTCATGCTATCGCCTACTATTCAATAGACGCAGACTTTGTGTATGCGCATATTTCTTATTTGTGAAATAATGCTTTTTCTAGTTCTGGTAACACTTGTATTGTAGCCTCCCTGATATAATTCTCTTTTAAAATACAATTTAGTGCTTTGAGATTTGTTTTTCTCGGGCTGTGTATATTCTGACACTCTTACAATAAATGCATTTACAATGGATAGTGCACAATTTGATGGTTGGGATGTATGAGAGTTGGGTCATTGCAATCTACATGTAATAATAATGTTATTAAAGTAAGCATAATTAGTAGATTGTTTTATGAGCGACTTCGTCATAGGCCTAACACTAAAACGCTTCTCTTTATTACGCGCGTCGCTTATAACATCTTTTCTTTTAAAGCGCAAGTACAGCAAACCATCTTTTGTCACTACCCTACATGGCAGGTGTGTAAAAAAAATTTTGCACTTTTAAGTCGACAGCCGAGGTTTCGTTAACAGAACTACTCTTAATAAGAACAAAACTACTCTCTCCTACTATCGGATAAAAAGAAGTAATTTATGTGTTTAACTGTAGTTAAAATATGTTGTACTGTTATTTTTTTCCGTACCTTACGCCGAGGACGCTATTATTCGTACTAAAGTTTTACTACACTGAATATTTAAATCTCAATGGCCTCGCGAGTGGCATATTCTTGTGACAAAAAGAAGATCCTTGAATACATGAAGACGGCTCTGGAAAGAGTCATGAACAATCGACAAATATCAGCTGAAGCGCATAGAGGGCACGCGACTTGCACAAGGGTCTGAAGGAAAGTATAAATATATTCTGTTTCTTTGGGGTTGGATCGCAGCATATATTACAGGACTTTGAGTCGTCTGTACTGTGTGTTGAACGTCACGTTCGCTGCGATGTTAAGTTTAAAAACAAAATTACTACATATTTTTATCGTGGCACATTACAGCGGTGTTGAACAATAGGCCCATTTCAATAGTTAAAAATGATTATTATATGATTTGATACAATGAAATGCTGTTTTATTAACTCCTGAATTTTTTGGAATAACAATTCCCAGTTTTTTCATCATACCACCTCGAAAAGGAAGGTTTCATTGTCCAGACATATGCATCTTTTTTTGCCGATCGAGTTTTTTAACACTTGTACCAACAAGTGTTATGAAGCCGACGTTGAGCTGTTGCGCCTCTAATGTGGTTCGATATTTTGGAAGACGACATCAAGCTCTAATTCGTTCAAGAAAGGAGGGCGATATTCGGTAATAGATTCTTCGTTAAGAACTTTATTAGCTATTCAGATGCATATAGTCTGAAATTTGTCGTTTTTTCTTATTTTATTATTTTAATCGTCTTCAGGCGGTTGAGGCGGTGATGGTTCACTCATCATATCAATCTTGGCCTTCAACTCCATCCAGTATTGTAGCCTATAAAATAAATGCAAACGATCAGCGTGATCAGTATTGATAATACATGGGATGCGATAAGTGCGTGCAAAAGTGTACCTCGAGTTCTTCGTTGCGTTTTCGAGCCAAGTCGTATGATTGCGATACTTTCGCATATTCTCTAGCATGTGCTTCTCGCTCAATGACTCATAAACCCTTTTGAATTATTGTAAGAAAAAAAGAGTTACAAACAGTATCGTGTGTAGTTATATGAGATACTTGTCGCGGAATATCAAAAGCATGTTGATCACGTCTTGTGCTCGACGACCCGAGAAAAAATTCATTGCTGTCAAAAATTATTATTACGAATCACACACCTGCCTCTCATCCTGCTTGTTGTTATCTAAAAAAACAGGGAATAATTCAAGAAAGCTGGCAAGTAGTTGCCCCGAAAAAGTCACCGCACACGAATCAAAAGCAATAGGTCATAAGTTGGCTATTTAATTGCCTAACAATGTCATGAAGGTATCCCATATAACAGTTCCAAGACCTTCGACAAGATTGTTTACAAAAATCTGCCCGTAAAGACGTCTACGAGTACTGTTGCTAATGAAAAAGCTCGCGGCAACCAAATATCTCAGTGATAATTAGGATATATGTATTATTTCTGATAAGCTTACTGATATAGGGGTTCACGACCAATACAGCAAATTTCTATAAAATCTTCGCATGGGGGAGGATTTTGTATACACGGAAAAACTTTTTAGCAATATTATAAATGCAAAGTTTTACGTTAATATTTTAAGCAAAAAATTAAACAACGTTTTAAACAGTTGGTGCTTCCAGTAAGATAATGACCCGAAGCATACAAGTCAGGTTGCTCGGGCATTTCTTGAGCGAAACATTCTGGACTGGCCCTTCCAATAATCCAGATTTGAACCCAATTAAAAACCGTTGTCGCTATTGTCAAAAAAATTATAGAAATACGTATGCCTAAAATTTTTTCAAAATCAGAGCGGTATATTGATATGACAGAATAATGGAATAATGTTTGAATCGACTGTATTAGATTAATGGAATTTGAGACGATAATGGAAACAACGGTGAAAGAATAATTTACTAATTTTATACCAATAAAAATTTTAGATTATGAGCTTTTTTGATATATATATTTTTTCGTTAATTTTTGTGTAATAGTTTTTGAGTGACAAGTAGATGAAAAAATTTATTACACATTGCAATGTTGCTTGCTTTTTACAGGCTATTAAACTGGCTAAACATAAGTTTCCTTGGTCTGCCAAAAGACATTATTTTTAAGTTGGGTACCCGTACGATAAATAAATGTCATGGCTGATGCCAAAATCCCCATGGCCGATTTTCTGCGTAATATAGTATCATACGTGCCTTCAAGTCAGGTGCGAGATTGATAATTAGCACAAGTAAATAATTATTTTTTATTTTCCATGATTATTCAGTCAGAATCCTCGTGGAGAGGTAAGCAGAGCTGATAGCTCCCCCACATAAATGCTTAACGCAATTTTGTAAGAATGCTATACTATCACAAAACTGTTGTCTCCTGCTTTTACTCCTGTCCGTTTTATCTGTCTGTTTTTTTGACTCGTTTTCTATGTCCATGGTATGTTTCTAATTTCGATCTCGAGCAGTTATCAATTGACGTTTTCATACACCCACGTTTTTTTTATCTTCTCAGTTACTTAAGAGGGCATCTAATACCTGAAATGCAGAATGTTACAATGACATAAAAACGTCTAGGTGGTTATTTATTATTATTTTTTCCTTTAACTTATCATAATAGATGTTGGTTTAACTTCTAGCATTGAAATACAGGCACAATCAACCAATAATATACTTTATTATTAAGACATTGTTTCCAAAAGAAGAACTATAACGTAACACTGTCGTCACTGTGCCGGGCCTTTCTTCAAAATATCACTGTTGTGATGCCATAATGAGTTAGACAATTGATCAGAATGCCTATCATGGTTCACCACAATATGGTTCAAGAAAAGCGTTCCCTGCACGAGTTTCATTTACAAGATTGTTGAAATCTTTATTGTACAATGTTTGTCCGCAATCAGGACTTATGTACGTTCATCAAACTTCTAATATTTGATTTGTAGATTATAAATTAAGAGAGCGAGCATTTGCGTTCATACTATTTCAATGATAAAAATATATTTCTCACAAGTTCAACTTAAGCTTTGTTACTCTTTGCATCAGCGCACGTAGCTCAACACCTTAAAACATTCGGCTCTTCTAAATGTTTCCAAAACTTTCGACTCAATGATTGTTTCTTTAATAATCTACGATTAAGTTACCTCTAAAAGGTCTTTAAAAACTCGGTTAAAATTTCCTTTAGTTTATCCTCAGTAGTCTGAGATATAACGCCCTCCTTTTTGATTGTCTCTAGAACATCAGAATGATTAGATACAACATAGGGAATAAATGCCTGTTCAAATTCAGTTACGCGCTTAGCGTCAATTTTGTCAAGAAAACCGTTGACACCAGCAAATATAAGTGGAACTTGATGTTCTACTGGAAGGGGTCTGAATTGAGGTTGCTTTTAACGAAGCAGATAAAAAGCAGTTTATGCGTGGTTAGTACACGGACCGATCATCGTGATTCAGATAAATGTTTAAAAGCTATGCGAAATAGTATCGTATACCTTGAGTAATTCAGTTAATCGTTCTCCACGATTCAACAAGAAACGTGTGGCGGCATCGAGATCGGAACCAAATTGAGCGAACTAAAATGGGACAGTAGATAAGTGTGAAGGCCAGTTGATACAATAGCGATAAAAAGTTTTATCCAAATCAACTTACAGCAGCGACTTCACGATACTGAGCCAAAAACAGTTTCAAAGAACCAGCCACCTGTTTCATGGCTTTCGTTTGGGCAGCACTACCCACTCTACTTACCTGTAAACAGTTGTATTGATTAATCAGTTACACAAGAGATTTTCTTAATGATAATAGAGTTTTTATGATTACTTACGGACAAACCAACATTGATAGCCGGTCGTACACTGGTAGAAAAAAGAGGAAATAGACATCAGTGTATGCTAAAGACGTTTAATCTTTACTTGTTCCTTCATACCCTTTAAAGAACAATTCGGCTTCCAAGAAAATCTGCCCATCCGTAATCGAAATGACATTAGTTGGAATATAGGCTGACACATCACCACCTTGAGTTTCAATAATAGGCAAAGCTGTCAAAGACCCAGCGCCATGAGTTTTATTCATCTTGGCAGCTCGTTCCAGTAAACGTGAGTGCAAGTAGAACACATCACCAGGGTAAGCCTCACGACCAGGAGGACGACGCAGAAGTAAAGACATTTGACGATAGGCAACGGCTTGTTTGGAAAGATCGTCATATATGATTAATGCGTGTTTGGCATTATCACGGAACCATTCGCCAACGGCACAGCCTGAGAATGGAGCAAGGTACTGTAGAGGGGCAGCTTCGGAAGCCGTTGCCGCTACGATTATGGAATATTTCAACGCATCTTTCAATGTTTAAAGTTAAGAGTTAGTAACCTCAGCGTGATTATCAGATTGTGTTCGCTGGAACGGATATGGTTTACTAATTCCCAATTACTGCCGTTTAAACGCTTCATCCTTCACAGATATAGACTTACCATTTTCTTCTAACGTTTGCACCAACTGTGCTACAGTTGATCTCTTTTGCCCGACGGCAACGTATACACAATACAATTTCTTGCTCTCATCATTCCCGTCGTTCCATCTCTTCTGATTCAAAATAGTATCTAATGCAACAGCGGTTTTCCCTGTCTGTCTGTCTCCAATGATCAACTCTCGCTGTCCTCTTCCAATCGGTACCATAGCGTCAACAGACTTGATGCCAGTAGCCATAGGCTCACTAACAGATTGGCGAGGAAGAATCCCAGGTGCTTTGACTTGCACTCGCCTACGCTCGGTTGCTGATATAGGACCTTTGCCATCAATCGGATTACCAAGGGCATCAATCACACGACCAAGCAGGCCGGGACCAACAGGCACGTCGACGATTTGGTTAGTTCGTTTGACCACGTCTCCTTCTTTGATTAAACGATCATTACCAAAGACGACGATACCAACATTGTCGGCTTCAAGATTAAGTGCCATGCCCTAAGAAGTTAAAAGAAGGGATGCGTATGAAGGAAACACGGACAATTGTCAAATTGAGAATTGTTTCTCTGTAAATATGTCCGACATAATAAAATTATAAAAAAATCCAATAGCTGCTATTAAGAAATTATAACCATAAAGTATATCAACTGATTTTATGACAATTCTGAAACATTACGTTATCAATTAACAGGAAATCAATATCGTCACATTGTAATTTTTCAATTCACAGATATCATAAACTCTACCCATCTAATTCTCGTCTCTTCTTTTTCATAAGCTCGTCTTATGTCAAGAATTCAGAAAAATCTACCTTAATCCCACTTGAGAATTCAACCATTTCCTCAGCTTGCACATTTTTCAATCCATAAACACGAGCAATACCATCACCAATCGATAACACACGACCAGTCTCTTGCACATCTATTTTTGATGTCTCACCAAGGATTCTCTCTTCCAAAATGCTTGTCACTTCGGAAGTACTCGGCTTGGCAGTTGCAAAACATCTAAGGGGGGTGCCGAGCACTCCAATGTTCCTGTTTACAATGTTAACCGTATCCACACGCGCAAATGCACTTTGCAGTCGTGCAGCCAAAGGCGAAGCTCTGCGCGTGGCGTTTCGTAGCATAGTAGTCGTAAATTACTACACAAGTGAAGAGGATGAGCGGGAAGTGAAAGTTGGACGAGGGAGAAAATAAAAGCGAAAAATTTAAAAAAGGACGATCTAAGCAAAGTTTGATCGCTGATCTTTCGGATGCGCAGACATGATTGGGTTAACTTCCGAAAAAAATTTTGTAAATATGGCACAAATTTCTGGGAAAGGGTAATGTTCCATAGGTAACTCAAGGTTGGGGAGACGATGTCATGATAATTCCTCAGGGAAAGTGAAAATTAAATCACGACAGAGATTGTCATAATAATAATGATAAAAAAAAAGAGACAATTTTCAGGTAATGTTTGATTTTTAAATTTATAACTTATTCCTTTGCGCAAGTCTTCCTACTATTGCTATAATCATCGACAATACTATCATTATTATTAGGTGTTAAAGTAACAAAGTTTTGGATCAAAAAATTCCAGTACTGAATTTAATTCAGTTTCATGTTCCACAGTGATCAAAGACCGCCTGGCCGCTTGTCAACATTAAGCCAAAAACGTCTCAGAAAATTGTTTGATAACTATTAGTTGACGGAACGTCTAATAATATTTTAATTTCTCGCGACTATTCATTCAGATGTCACGAGACTAAACGGATCAAGCTTAACGGCAAAATAAAAAATAAAAACTGTTAATATTAATTCGTAACGTGACATATCGAATTGCGACTTGTATAAATTTGGTCGATCAAAAGAGTCGACTCTTTAATGTCTAGCAAGAAGCCAAAAAAACCATTATACGAACAATCGACTCAATTCCGTCACTGGCGCTTTTCGAGCTCGCAGTTAGAGAATATACGTACGCAGACCAATACTTCAACAGTTGAACGAGTCAAGCGGCTACTCACAGAGGAATTGGTTTGTGCTTGCTTCTCCCTCCTCGATTCCCGCTTTGGCTTCGATCTCACAGCTGACTCTCCTTAGACTCTACGTGAGACAGAACAAACGGACTCGCCTCGACCACCGCCTGAAGAAATTCCATACCTAACTGCTGATGAAGAACTAGCATTATGTCGTTACTATGAAGCAATGATTAGAAACTTCCCAGGAGCCAATTTCCCCGATGAAGTCAAAGTGATTCGTTTTTTCCCTATTCTACTTTCAATACAGCTTTGTCTGTCCTCATCTGACTTGAACCCCTAAATACTAGGCAACCGCCATAGTGTACATGAAAAGATTTTACTTGCGAAATTCTATAATGGATTATCATCCTAAAACCATCATGTGAGAGTCAATCCCAAGTGTTGGCATACAGCATCATATATAGTGCAATTCATGTCATTTTCTCTGTAATTAGGATGACATGTCTTTTCCTTGGCGCCAAGACGGAAAATAATATTATCGCAATTAGCGATTTTCTCAACATCATTGAACGGATATCACGAGAGAAAATATCCCGTGATACGATATTTCGACATGAGTTGCCAGTCTCGCAAAGTATGAGGTTTGAGTATGCCGTGCATCACCCTTATCGTGCAAGCTTTGGTTTCTTCTTAGATTTACAGGTCTGTAATGCCGGTTTAGCTGTTAATTATTGCTGATGAGTTTGTACTTCACTATACAAGTAGCTAACCCGTAATATTTCTTTTATTTTATAATTTAGAATTTTACAAAAGATCTGACAAAACTTAAACGAATCTATGAGAAATCGAAAGAATACATCGGAACATCGTTGCTAACCGATTTGGTTTTTACTTATCAACCATCGCAAATCGCCTTGGCAACAATACGGATGGCGACAAAAACTCTGGAGGCTAAGCTCGACATTAACGGGTATTGCTTTATTGGACACTAATACAAGTTACATGGCATAGGTCGAAAGTTTTTTAGTAACCTGAGCATTCGTTTAGGTACATTCGAAGCAAATTTCCCGACAAACACGAAAAGTTTACTGATATACTCAATGATATCGAGAACACTCTGACCAATTTTTCTCCCGTATCAAAGGATCAAGCTAAAGAAATCGATCGAAAATTACATTTCTGTCGCAATCCAGAGAAGAATCCTAATAGTGCATTGTATGGTGTTATTGTTGTTCGGTCAATTCATGAAACATGCATACGTTAACACACAGATTTTTAGATCCAAAAAACGGCGTGCTGACAAAGAGCGAGAACGCGAAGTCAGGAAAACAAAGAAATCGAAGACATTGAGGGATCGACAAAAAGAATTGGAGAGCGTATTTCAATAGTTCGTAGGGAGAGTGAAGGGAAATATTTCGCATTCAAGGTTCTCTGGTTGAAACACCAATAATTACTGGATGGTTTTTAGAGAGAACCAATTTGACCAGAGGATACTGAAATCTACTTACGCTTAGGGTTACTCTTTTCCTCGACACCCAAATATTACTAATATTCAGTAGGCGATATCTTACTTTGAAGCCTGCTTTCGCTTAATGCATAGGATAAGTTGATCTGTTCGACTATTTTCTCTATGACTTCGACAAGGATTGGCAAGCAACGTGTCAACCCGCACTTGTAAACGGCTCATGTCATAATCAATCCTTCACTTTTATAGATCATTCCCAGACATTTATTCTCTGATTAGGAATACAGTGATTTTTATGTGTATTATTATACAATTCCTGCATACTAGACAGACTTAGTAAACAGACTAGTAGAATATACTAAAATTTTGCAAAAGCTAATAAAATCGTGTTACCGTAGTTACCTGAGAAGGTCAAGTATCATGTGATACACGTGTCGGAATCTTTAGCTGTTTTTCTTCATACAATCTTTTAAAAATTGCTACCAACTAAAGGGGATGATTTAACGTGGACGGAAGATATATCGATTGCAGATGGGATCAGCAGTTGGGAAGGATCTTTTCCCTCTTCTCCACAGCAGAATTCAAACACACTCCCGTGTACAACGACCACTATTATATCATCGAACGAAGGGATAACCGACGAGTCGAAGTCGTCATGTATCAACAGCAGGCTGACGACTGGAAAAGGGAACATCTCGACGAGTGGGTCGGCAGATCCATCTCCGCAAATATGGAATATTATAGCACCCACTCCGACCTGCCCAGACACGAACTTATTACCTTCGTTCCCTTCCTTGACGGAGATAACTTCAGACACGGAGGATGCGATGACTACGGAGTGGAGGAGTCGTCGCTCGATGGAGCTACGTTGAAATACAGTCGATATGGAGACGAGACTTTGATGGATGTTTACTTCCGCCCGACCGAAGAGAAAGAGCCTGGGAATTCACCCGATGGATCATGGGATTGGAATTTGTCACCATGGTTAGACGAACCCCAGCGACAGAAATGCCATTAACACCGACCATTACTTACCCGAGGTATCACCGTGTGAGCCCCGAGTTCGTAATAATTAGTAATATAATCACAAAATTTATGCACATCCCTCCGGTCGATTATAGTCAAGAAATCCCACACATTTATCCCACACTTTTAACGTCGTACAGCATATTCCCATAAATAGGATGATC